GCGTTCCTTGACTGTGGCTCTCCCCTCTTCCCGTTTCAATTGAGTTTTCTCTTCTCTCCCACTTTCCGCGGCCTTACTGTACTCGTTCCTGATGAGGCGTCTCTAGCGGCAGGCACGAGTGACCTCGGAGGTGGGGACATTTTACGGAGAGGCCGGAAGAGGGCATCGATACCTATGCTGTATCTCCATTTCACATGCCGTGTTCGGTCGCTAAAAAAAGAAAAGAAAAATCCTGTGCGATGTTGTTCGCGGTGCGACAATGAAAAGGCTGGTCACCCCTCCTGCGAGATCTCTTATCCGGGCTATTCAAATGCCGTACCTGGCACTTTTCTGGAGCTATGCTAGTAGTGTTACGGCCGTTGTATGAGTAGAAGACAGTTGCTTCACAAGTCTCTGCTTCTCATGTATACACGCAAATGGATCGCTCGATCTAGGTCGTTGATCTTCATCATGGAGAACGACGAGACAAGCATCATGTTCAGAAGCCCTAGGCAGGCGCGAAGTACTTCCAAGTACCACCGTACCACCGCTAGCAGGCACTTGGCGGGCTGACACAATGTCGGCAATCCTCAAGGCCCCGACAGCTTCAGTATTGCGCGGCCCCCGCATCAAAACTGGGAAAGAGGAAATTACCACTTGAGCAGCCATGCATTAGCTCGGGATCCGTCAACCGTCCATGGCATCATAGATTCGCAATCGACCGCACCTCACGGACTATCGCTGCAGGAGAGGAAGTGAGAACCCAGCAGGGGACATACAGGCGAGCATTGCAGTCTCATCTTGTTTACTCCTGGAAAGCGGGATTCAATTCAAATGCCATGGAAGGAACCATGTTCGCACAGCATCGAGAATGAAGCATGTACAGACGGGACTTCGTACGAGTACGTTGTATCATGGCACTGCCTTATCCATGCGCATGCCTGTCTTCCGACTGGAAAGTGCAACGTGACACTACCTGGCCGTTATTACGACATGCAGAGGATGAAGGAAAGAGCGAGGAGGAGATATCAGAAAAGCTGAGCGTCGATGCTTGAGCTCAGTCTACGACATGATTGATACACACCTCCGAACAAGCAAGCAACGAAACGCAGCAGCAGCAAAACTGCCGGGTTCGAGTCAATGCGTCGTCAACAAGCCCGGCGCTGCTGTTAGATCGATTTCGATCCAGCGGCTACGTGCAAATTAGGCAAAAGGCGATGCAGCCGCACATGGAAGCCCCCCTGAATAGCGCAAGTCGACGCGCTTTTTGACAGCCCTTCGCTTGGGCAGTTTTTATGGAGCGCCCACGGAGCATGACACAGAATTCACAGGCTACGGGAGCAGACTGACCGGCTGGCTGCCTCTTTTTCCCGGACCTCATGACGACAAGACCTTCTCGATTTACATGACCACCGGCATTGCAAATGGCCCTGCTGGGATGGCGGCGAGCAGCTGCAGGTACGGAAGTGGGTTCGTAGAACGGAGAAAACACAGCCGCCTTACCCGTCCCCATTCGCCCTCCCGAGATTGGACCAGGGTGACAATCGCCAGCTCTTATCTCTCGACCTGGGTCAGAGCAGTACTACTGCTCCAACTGTCTTGGCCATTGCTTGCTCGAAGCATCTGAATGAAGGTACTACCTATGGACCAAGATACTGTACTCCGTATGCGCCGTTTCGGATCAATGACTTGCCCTTGACCATCAATGATGCAACCATTCAGGGGCCATGGTCTCCAGAAGCAAAGTGCTGAGCGCAACAGTACGAGTACTGCTATCTTACCTACTCCTCACGCATACGCATGTCTTTCGCTCCGTCACCGTTCATTATGGGCCCGGTGAAGAGTTACTGGGGCGAGCATTGCGACTCCTAAGCGCAGCGTACAGATCGTGCCACGTGTGTCTTATCCGGGCTTGCTCTCATTCAGAGAAGACAGATGCCATGACCTGATGTCTGCTCTATCTCACCCGCTTCTGACATTTGACGCTGGCCAGACGCAAACAGCAGGCTCCTCCTGCTGCTTGGTGGCCTGTGAAACTGAGGAACCTCGTGCTGGTATGTAGTGTTTGTGCTTCCATGAAGTGAGACCATGAACTTCGTACAATGACATTGTAGCTGACTGTGTGGATAATCAGGATTGCGTTGTCTTGGCTATGCGCCCCCCCTGAAATCCCCCAGCCGGAAAAGCGGTTCCCCCTGTCGATCACTCGGAGCCTAAGCCGCCATTCATTGTATGATCTGCTACCACTACGACTTGTACGCATGTACGGAGTACATGCTTGTACATAGTACTACTGGTACTATCAATCTTGCATCCGCAAGGAACGCTGGGCCCGTGTTAGATCTGATTTTGCGTATCGGTCGATACGTAGCCATCTAAAGGACTCGTCTAGTGGCGGTGCTTGACATTGACATGTCTTGGACTCCAAGCTACCAGGTATATTACTGTACGACCACAAGAAGCAAGCTTCACACCTGTTTACCAAGCGATGGCGACCGCCTTGCGGCTTGGTACATTCGCAGATTACCTGCCACTCGTTCACACAACAGTTTCGCATCTTCAGTTTCCGTCCGATCTCTCCTGGAAGATTGCTACTGCTCTCTGTGGATGATATATCTGTTGAAAAACTTCAACATTTGAGATGACTTCGTGACATGCAGTATTGATACAGGGTACTTCGTCCAAGGCCTCTGAGCCCGGAAGCCACCTCTATTCTAGCTCATCGGATACTTATGCTATTATAGCCGTTGGCGAATCTCTTGTCCTTTCAGTATTCTCAGGTGGCAATGTCAATGCAGTGAAAGTGAGAATGAAGGCTCTCCTCTCGGAATTTCACTGACCTTGGCTTTTTGTACCACATGCTGGTGTTGATCTCCCAATGACGTGGCAAGATATTGCTCGAACCGCTGGCTATGCTATGGTATATATATTCTCTCTTGATCTCGGAGCTCCTTTGGCCCCAATAGCGATACCGATCCGGCATTGGGTTTCCAACGGGCAGCTGATCTCCGCGGCCTATGTGTGCCTATATATGACCCTTTGGGCGGATCTATCAAGAAGACCGCTTGCGTTACGCTCACGGGCGTCTTTCGATACTCTATTCCCACGATTCGTACTCCATTGCTCTTGATGACCAAACAGCTCATCCTTTGTGGTAACTCTCTGACGCTTCATCTCTCTTTTTCAGTTCTCTTATCTTGATTCCATCATGGCTGAATGAGATGTGTTCAAAGAGTCAAAGTTGCTCTCCTCTCTTGCCAGGTACACAATTTCTCATGCAGTGCGATTGTAGGAACGCCTGTTACCCCAAGAACCTCAACGGACTTAACATGAACATAGGGAGGGGTTGTCTCCAACGGCGATGAGAAATATCAAGCGTCCCCTGGATTCAGCTCGATGATGGTCCGAAGGGATGACTGGACATATGGACAATGCTCCGCAACTGAAAATGTTCAAGTCTCATGTTTGTCGACGACGACGGGTCTTGCCTGATCGCCTTCACTAGGAGAATGTACACGAAAAACCATTCGGCAAGTGAATGTGATAGTAGAGAGCCTGGCGACTAGGAGACGACCGAATGCTGAGGATGTCTCTTTCGAACAATTCGATGGTGATTCATCCTTGACCGGAAATGTCTCCTGCTTTCCGATTCCGATACATGTGAGATGCTCGAGAGCAGATTCGGGTTCGAGATCTCGCCTGAAATCGACAAAATGATGACCTGGATTATTCACCATCATGCATTCGTTGCTCAGTTGATAGCGGCGTACTAAGCACTCTGTATTGGGTGGGTGGTCGGCTTTTTCCTATGAGGTTCAGCGTTGCTCGCGTGCCTCTTCACCGGCCTTTTCGTCTGTTGCCTCTGATGGTTCATGGTTACTCTTTCGTCTGTAACCTCTGTGTGGCTCATGGTTACTCTTGTATCGTCCTTCCTCCATACCCTCTGTACTTCAAGCGCGGCCAGCTGATAATCAGTTCTGACCTGGTACGCTTTTGTGAGCATCGAATTACTGATAATTGATTAGAGCTATGAGACATTGTCCAAAGTCAAGAGAATACCACCAAACATGGTTTCCACCAACAGCAACATTGAGGATGGAGAAGCGACGATGTCCACGGGAGCGATGTTGATCACGGCCTAGGAAGATTCGATCAGTGGGACCAATGCCGTCATGCCCTGCAGCTCACCATCGGCTATTGGGAAAACCCCTACTACTACGACAAAGTAATGAATCCCTTCGGCGTCACGACTTCTGTTTATATGTCCTGATGTTTAAGGAGCAGATGGACGCGGAAATCCTAGGGGCCTGATGAGGGACATTGTCTTCTGACGGGAGAAGACTTCATATTCGACATGCAGGGCAAATGATGCGCATCATCGGCATTTATTGATCTGCTCCCTAAATGAATGCCGAACCTTCCCCTCGTCCTCCTCCATTTACTGAGCTGAACATGCCAGGGCGTATCGACAATGGAGAAATGCGGGACCAGCTACACCATGAAACCGATTTGTGACGAAAGCGCCAATAATGCACCCAGGACGAGACAGAAGAGACCAACTGACCCAAGCGACTGCTGGAAAGAGAGCCGTCGTATGATGCAATTGCCCCAGATCGAGAGGAACTCCCGCCGATGGCGCGTTTCGTCATACGGAGAACAGCCAATGCCGTGGAAATCTCGGTGAGACTGAGGCGTAGTGAGGCGCAGCCGAGGAGCCAGGGGCCTGGAGCGGCGCCCGATCTTGAACGCGACGGCGAAGCCGGTCCGGGGGTTGGGCTCCACACGCCCCCGGATCTCTCCAACTCCATATCAGATATGAGGAACGCCCGCCGGCATCTGCCCTCATCATTGACTTGGCCATTCCACGATATAAAACCACCAGGCTGCCACTGCTCGTCTGGCCTTGTTCGCCGACTGCAACGCAACTCACCTCAAATACCGCGCCCTGAATTGGACCGAGCCTGTCAAGTGCTGATCAAAGCCGGACTTTTTGTTACAGCCCATCTGCTGGCTACGACGACATGACAATGGCAGCCGAAAGCGACATCTACACGCTCCACTACTTCCCGTTCTCGCTGTATTCGCTCATGGTACGATTTGGGCTCGTCCTGGGGAGGCGATTGAACCCAGACTCGGCTCCAAGAGTCCAGATCAAGTTGGTAAATCTCCACAGGGAAGAGAACCTTTCGGAGGAGTATCTCACCTTGGTGAATTCAAGAGGCCAGGTAAGTGTTTCTACAAGAGCGAGTTCCATTAATTGCTGGCCACGGAGATTGCATTGGCGAAAGCACATGACCCTTGATATTGACACTGCAAAGGTGCCGGCACTTACCTCACGTGCGCTCGCATCGCCCCTCACAGACAGTCATGATATCTCCGAATGGTTATGTGAGAAGCAGCCGGAGCTTGTTCCCGAATATCACCGGATAACGATCCAGAAGATCATGGACAAGTTGTACAGCTTCCATGCCATGGCCCTGACGATAGGACGCGAACAGAAGAAGCATGGCATTCCCAATCGAGCTGCAGAGCTGCTAGAAAAGAAGGACTTGACGGAGCACCACCGCAGAGCATTGGAGATGAAGAGCGTCTTGTAAGTTGCCCACGGAGGCCGACTGTTAGTCTGAGGATTTTGCTGATGAGCATTCTTTCTTTTTTTGCTCAGCCACGAGCTATGCTACAGCAACATGTTCACCCCCAGCAGCATCGACGATGTGGAAGCCAAGGCCCGGGAGTTTGTGCAAGAGCTTGATTCAGCCCTCAACGAGTACAGCAAAGGGCAGCTTTGGATATTTGGAGACAGGCCAACTATACTGGACGCACATGCCGCAGCACTGATAGCGAGGCTGATGGATGTGAGGCGACAAGACTTGCTGACGGAGAGAGTGCAAGAGTACGCAAGGGGAGTCTTTGCGTCCGAGGAGTGGAACGAGGTCACGCACGGGAGGACAACGCTTTGGAACGTCTCGTTGGGCCACGTTGCCGACTTGAATCCACTGTAAACTGTGATTTGTTGGCTTTCTCATTTTGTCTTGTTCCCTCCTCCTCGACCTCTTTCATCTCGAATGTCTGGGCATTGCTTGAAGCAGCTGCCTGTTGTATATAATATGAGACTCAATACCCAATGTCCGAATGTAGCTATGAAGAAGACCAAACGAAGACATAAACCCGAGAGCATATTGGCTCTGCTGAATAAGAACAGTATTGACGAGGCAATGGCTCTGTGCACATCGGCCGAAGGATATACTCGGCCGTCTTTAAGAAGCAGCACTGCTTTCCATGTGAGATCTATCTGTCAGTATGTCCAGGCATAGCTTTGCATTGGACGTTGTCAAAACGAGCAGTTGACAAAAGGTGATGGAAGAGCATGACCAATTACCCGGCATCGGGTCATTGCTTTTGGAGCTCATGTAAGCTTATGATTGCTATGTATCGATTACATCACACATGTGGCACTTTGGTGAATTGTTACAAGCATCACAGAGTTTCGAGATATTCACTTTTCGGCGTTGGCCGCTTTTGCGGGGGAAAATGGAATGAGCACAGTAGTCGAAACCCATACGGTCGTGCCGTGGCGAAAGAGAGCTCAGGTGTCGAAAACAAAAACAGGGTGAAAAAGAAGCAAAAGTACAGCAAAAACTGACAGGCCGACAAAAGTGCCTTGAACCGAGGAGCAAAGGCCCGTCTGTCAGAGGGCGGCAGCGGCCTTTATGTACAGTTCAGTCCTTGTAAGAGGAAAATACGGCGCTGGAAGAGGGAACTTCTGTTCGCCTTGGCCGGTCCGAGTCAAAAGTTCCGCACTGTCGGGTGGCGGAGCGGAGCACAAAAGGAACATTTGAGGAAGGACACCTGGATGGTCAGCGACCAGCTTGTGCTTCGTTCGTGAGGATGAAGCTGTCGCGGGTGAGGGAAACAGCAGATGGAGGGAACTGATACGGCGTTGAGCGGTAATTTGACCTCGGAGCAGGACTAGCAGGCAGAGATGGCAGAGATATCACTGTATCGTCTACACGTCGATCGGAGATATCAGAGGGCCCAGAACACCCCGGTTTTGCAGGGGACCGGATACGGATATCAGAGCTGAGAATTTCTCTCTTTGTGGCGTCTGCACGCTGTTCGGGTGGTGGGTGGTCACTGCCAATGTTATGGCGTACAGTGTGAAGTGGTGAGGACGGGACGTCGCTTCCTTTTTTCGTTGGGAGACTGGGTTAGACGCGCCATTCGTCCACTCGGGCTTCGTCTCATCATCTGCGGAGAATTGCAAAATCTCTCAGAAAATCAACCCTCCATGTCGGACAAGACCTGTCTCTGCGCGAGATGGACGGTTCGTGCTTGCAACACCACGCATCTGGGGTCCCCGAGATCGGATTCATGATGGGGATGAGTGATTAGGACTGAGCCTATCGTGGACTTCAGCTGCACTCTCGCGATTCGAAGCCAGAAGTACGCCATGCGAGGGGGGAAGAGATAAGGGCCTTCACCCTGGAGAGAGGTCGAGGCTAGGGTCCCCCCCTCTGGCTGCATCATTGGCTAGACCAGCCAGTTGAAAGCAGACTATTCTGCGCCTCGCAGCTAGGCACGGCAAGCAAGTGTGTGTCAGAAGCACATGCTGCTCGGCTTCGGTATCTATCACTGGAGGGCACACGAGGCTCGGAAACAGGCTTTGGGCGGTCAAAGACCAAATGTTTTGGCATCGGGTACCGGGTATCTCATCAGGCTGCGCAGAGTATGTTCAACATGCATCATACGAGCTTTTGACAATACATATCAGCAGGTTGTTATTAGGCGGATATATCTTCGAATGCTTTGTACGGGGCCGTCGTGGCTTGGAGGATGGGAGGCCATTATCGTCCCTCCCCAGCTTTGGGGGCTTGCGTGGATTCTCTGGGAGGACCGTCGCACACACTCCGTGCTCCCGCGCCTTGTTCCAACTGTCTCCCACGACCAGCCACGGACTTGGGATGGCCCCAAGACGCTACGGTCCATTAGGAAGGTCTGGTGTTTTGCACGCTGTCGTTGGCCAGGAAGAGCAGGTTATCGCTAGATTGGCACCGGTGCTCAGCCCACCACCAAGCCGCAGAACACTATCGATCGTCTCGAAGCCAAGCCTTGCAAGCCTCTTACTCTTCCGCGTGGCACACAGCAGCGCTTGTTGGCACATGGTGGATGACAGGAACCGACAGGGGCACGACGGTTTAGCTGCGCACTGTGCTGCGCCGTCTCTTTGTCTCGGTCTGGGCTCGAGCGCCACACTGGCCATGATTTGGCGGGGGATTGTTCAAGATGGAGTCGGCTGGACTCGTGAGAGAGAGAAGGGCAGCTAGAACGGCGCTCAACGGACAGGGTCTGTGATTGGTAGGGCGCAGATGTTGCTGTAGGCATTGCATTGCAGTATTGCAGCCCATGGGGTTAGCGTCCAAAGCGATTATCTGCGGGTGTTGTGTGCTGCTGCGGTTAGTAGGTCGTCGCACTCGCCTTTCTCTTCCCACCTCTGCATACCTACAACCCTTCCTCACCGAGCAAGACAGAGAGAGGGCGAGAGTGAGAGAGAAGAGCCAAGTCCTTCAGACAGGCCTCGCCGCGAACCGGTTTGACTGCGACTCGACTCGGCTCGGCTTGTTCGATCTGTCGACGACTAGGCGGGCGACGGCGATAATAAGCGACGACAAGGGCGACAGTCCTAGCAGAAGCAACGCCAAACACCACTCAGACCAGCGCCGCGGATCGTCGACGTTCGACGACGGCATCGGCTTCTCACAGTCGACATGTTGTCGTCCTTCTTCCGCCGGCGCCATGAGCCGGAGCACATCACCCCGATTCCCGGCCCGCTGGAGACGGAGCTGCCTGGCATGCAGCATCTCCAGCATCTCCAGCAGTTTGAAAAGGCGCACAAGCTCGACCCCAACCTGCCCATTGACGACCTCAACGATGTCGACGCCGCCATAGCGACTGGCAATGCCGAGAAGGGCATCGAGATTGAGCACGCCCTCATGGAGGATAACAGCCCGTATCCCGAGGTATGACTTATTCGCTTGTTTTTCAACCCGTTGGCGCAAAATGAGATGAGACGGAAAGCCATCTATACACGGAACATGAGATATCATCATTAAGCAAGGATGGTGTAAGCTGATGGGATGAATCTTCCCTTCTACTCTTATAGGTGCGAGCCGTTGTTCGAAACTATGATGTCGACGTCCCTGCCAACACCATCCGCGCCTGGGTCATCGGCCTCATCCTCTGTACCGTCGGCTCTGGCGTCAACATGCTCTTCTCGCTTCGCAACCCGAGCGTCGCCATCACGACGTACGTCATCCAGCTGATTGCCTATCCCATCGGCCGCGGCTGGGACTTGGTCATGCCCGACAAGGAATGGAACCTCTTCGGTTTGAAGTTTAACCTTCGACCCGGCAAGTTCAACCACAAGGAGCACGTCATCATTGTCGCCATGTCCAACGTAAGTATCTGTCACTACCTTACAGAAGGAAACGAAGAAGCTTGATATCTGCCTCGAACCCAAGTTCCATACCTCTTTCTGTATCTGCTCAAGCTGACGATGTCTTGCCTTAGGCTGCCTACGGCGGTGGCGTGTTGTATGCGACGGATGTTTTGCTGGCGCAGCGCCTCTTTTACAAGCAAGACTTTGGCTGGGCTTTCCAGCTTCTCTTCGGCATCACCACGCTGTGTACCGGATACGGCCTGGCTGGTCTGGCTCGTCGTTTCTTGGTCTGGCCCGCCGCCATGATCTGGCCCGCCGATCTGGTCAATGTCGCCCTCTTCTACAGCTTGCACGACCACTCACCATCGGACCCGTCAAAGACGAACGGCTGGTCCATTGGCCGCTACAAACTCTTCCTCATCGTCGGCTGCGGCGCCTTCATCTGGTATTGGTTCCCCGGGTGGATCTTCAAGGGCCTGTCTTCCTTTGCCTGGGTCTGCTGGGCTGCCCCGAACAGTGTCGTCGTCCAAAAGATCTTTGGGCCCAGCCACGGATATGGCTTGATGCCCACCTCCTTTGACTGGTCCGTATACAGCGGCTTCGTGGGCTCGCCACTGATTCCTCCGTTCCATGCCATCGCCAACGTGCTGGGCGGAATCGTCGTCTTCTTCGTCATCATCTCCATGGGAATCCACTTCAGCGGCACCTGGTATTCCGATTATTTCCCTGTCCAGTCCTCCGACTCGTACGACAACCTGGGCCAGGTCTACAACGTTTCGCGAATCCTGGGCAATGACTTGAAATTCAACGAGACAGCCTACAAGGAGTATTCGCCTCTCTTCCTGCCGACTCAATTTGCCCTCGCCTATGCCCTGTCATTTGCCGCCGTTGCCGCCGTCCTCATCCACGTTGCTCTCTACCATGGCAAGGAGATCTGGAACCAGTTCAAGCTGGCCCGTCATCAGGAGGACGACGTTCACATGCGGCTGATGAAGAAGTACCGCGACGCTGAGGATTGGTGGTACGCAGGTATGTCACGTTTTCTGTTTTTCCCGGCAAAATCCCTTGCTTCATATCGTGTAGTTGTAAAGTGCTGACGAAAGCCATGTGTGTAGCGCTCTTCGTTGGCATGGTTGCCATCTCCTTTGGCATAGTCGCTGGCTGGGATACCGGCTTCCCCGTCTGGGCCTATGTCGTCTGTTTGCTACTTCCGATTGTGTGGCTCATTCCCATCGGCATCGTCCAAGCCATCACTAACATTCAGCTCGGTCTCAACGTCCTGACCGAGTTCATCATTGGGTACATGGTTCCCGGCCGGCCCCTGGCCATGATGATGTTCAAGAACTATGGCTACATCTCCATGTCACAGGCCTTGTACTTTGCCCAAGACTTGAAGCTCGGCCATTACATGAAAGTGCCCCCTCGCGTCATGTTCACTTCGCAGCTTCTGGCCTCTGTCTGGTCTGCCATCGTGCAGATTGCCGTCATGAACTGGGCGCTCGGCCACATCCCCAACGTCTGCGACCAGCAACAGGAGAACGGCTATTCGTGCCCAGGAGGCCGCGTCTTTTACACGGCCTCGATCATTTGGGGCGCCATCGGACCCGCTCGCATCTTTAGCAACGGGGCTCTCTACGCATCACTGCAGTGGTTCTGGCTTGTCGGAGCCATCACTCCCATTGCCACCTGGCTGCTGGCTCGCCGCTGGCCCAAGTCCTTCTGGCGCTACGTCAGCTCCCCCGTCATCTTTGGAGGCACTGGCCAGCTCCCTCCGGCGACTGTCAACATCTACCTCTGTTGGGGCCTCGCCGGCATTGTTTTCAACTACTTCATCAGGCGACGATACACGGGCTGGTGGTTGCAGTACAACTACGTTGTTTCGGCGGCGCTGGACTGTGGTCTCATTATATCCACGCTGCTCATCTTCTTCACCCTGTACTTGACCAACATGAACAGTCCTCACTGGTGGGGCAATGACGCCGCTGTGCATACAATGGATGCTACAGGAGATGCGATATCCAAGAGAGTTGCTCCAGGCGAGATTATCGGACCATCACAATGGCCCTAGAAAGCACGTGGAGTTGATTCCAAAGAAAGAAAAGACTGAATTCAGCTGGACAAACGGCGTTGGCATGGTTAGCAATCTTGGTTTTGGGCATGGTGTGTACATAGGTTGTGTATAAGGATGCCTCTCTGTTGCGATGATTGATCTGCTTTGGTTCCTTTCATTCGTTTTCTTATTCAGTCTATGATGACTTGGTTCGGACAGGGATGGCGTTTTAAGGAAGCCTCGGCTATACTACTTGATGTTCTGTTTTTGCCTTATTTCTTGTATGAGAGGGTTGACTTTTGGCATCAGCGATACCTAATGACGAAACCAGTCAAACTTGAGATGGCACTACTTCCAGAGCCATGTGTGATGTTTCTTGCATTTGCGTAGAAGAATCACTGGGCGAGGCTGATGCATCTACCTTTTGATAAGGCACCTGAACTTTTCAGCAAGCCGTTATGAGCAAGGTATGAATTGGCATCGAAGTATGCATGGTGGCCTAATGAGTAAAGCATAGATGGGTACGCAACAGTATCCAAGTTGACTTGCACTGAGTTTGAATGAGATGACTCTCAACTTCAATAGAGCAGATGAGGGAGGCGTCCATGCATCAGCCTACACCATTTAGACTACTGCTGCTAGTAGCACCAAAATCCGACCAGAAGATATGCTGAGTCAGCTCAAGATTGAGATAAGAAAAAAAGTGCATCACGTGCACAGGCGAGAGGGTATCATCACGTGGTTTAGACGGGCGGCCAGGCCCACGCCACTCCCACGCAAAAATTAGGGCTGGCAATTCGACACTCCACCGCGAAAAAGGCGTTGCTCTCCCGTCCAAATTAACAATCTGTGAATCGTCATCCCCAGCTTCACGCCTAACCACCACCGACCGCCAAGATGAGTACGTTATACTGCTGTTCCTGCTCGCCGCCTCGAAGATCCCGTTTCTACGAACCCGAAAGAGCTCGCATATCATGTCGAAAGATTGCTGCGCGATGCCCGAAATACCTTTAGGGAGAATCGAGGACGGGATCTGGCGAAGAACTCCTGTTGGGTCATGAAATAAGGCTGACTGTTGATCCTGCGTGTAGCGAAGGGTACCTCCAGCTTTGGTAAGCGTCACAACAAGACGCACACTCTCTGCCGACGATGCGGTTAGTTTTATATCCTCAGTCCACCGGAAACGCGGCATTCGTGATGCCTCCGTCGCAACAGACCGCCCCGAAGGGAAAAGATTTGATCGAGACTTGTGGCCAGAGACACGGATGGGAGAGGGAAAGCGAAAAGGAGATGCCACCGGGCTTGGAGAAGTGGCTCTCGTCTCGACGAATTCAACCTGAGGAGCGGTCAATTGCGACGGATGGCGGATCGAATCGAACGCTTCGACGAAATGATTCGGCATGCTGATTATGGTTGGAACAGGTCGCCGATCTCTGCACGTCCAGAAGCATGAGTGTGCCTCTTGCGGATACCCCGCCGCCAAGATGCGAAAGTGTATGTGCTCTCCCAAACTTGTTCTATCAGTCGAACACCAAGAGACGCAAACTGTCTCCCCTGTCCCCGCTACCTTACCCCAAGCGCGCGAGAATTGACGTCCTAACGAAACTTTCTCTTTGCAGACAACTGGAGCGAGAAGGCCAAGCGGAGAAGGACTGTCGGAACCGGCCGCTGCCGCTACCTCAAGGACGTTTCCCGACGATTCAAGAACGGCTTCCAGACCGGCGCCCCCAAGAACGCCAGGGTTGGCAAGAAGTCCGCTGAGCAGGAGTCTTAAGTGACAAACAACACTTTGGAGTGAGCGTTTCGGAGCTCTCTTTCTGCTTCTACTGGTTTTTTGTTTTTTTCTTCGTCGCTACACCGGATTCTTATGCACAAAAGGGTAGAAGAGGGAGAGAGAGAGAAACGAGGAAAATAGAAGAAACCAAAAAAAGAACAATAATCCCCGCGTCCATGAGGTTTTAATGAGTACTGGCGAAACGAAACACAACTTTTGCATCTTCTCACTCATCTCTTGCCCGCCCTCTACCAAGTGATGAGCGACGTTTTCCTGCCGGATCAACTTTTTTCAGGTCTTTCTTCTGTTCTTCTTTTTCTTCTTTTCCTCTTCTCGCAGCATGGATTCGAGTGGAACGTGGCGGTGGATGTAAAATTTGGGCGATTGATCAAGGAAGGCGGCTGGAGCATGGGACAAATGGTGTTTATGAGAAAAAACGGACCGCAACTGCTTTTTACTTTCGCGCCAGAGATTCCGTTAGAGGATTCAGGCGACGAGAGTTATGAAATGGCAATCCTGATTCTTCAAGCCGCCTGTGCCTTGTTCTTCGCCTCTGCTTCTTGATGCAAGCTTTGCTGAGATGCTTTATGTGTAGAATGCTTCCCATTCATCTCATCCATGCGCTCCTCCATCTATTCATCCAATTGCCATTTCCAATGTCCAGTCTCCGTAGTAGATGCGCCTCAAGATGCCATTACACTTCATCATTACCTAGTAAGACTTGTCGTCCACCCTTAAGTCCCCCTCTCAAACACCTTGACATTCCCGTCCGCCCCAACGTGGTACAAATACTCTGCATCCTCACCTCTCTCCTCTTTCCGCACCGCGATCCTCACCACACCGCTGACATCCTTGGCCACGCCCGTGTCCAGCATCCTAAGACTAAGGACTAGGTCGGCGGCATGTGCCTGCGCGAGCACCAGCGCCGCATGAGAGCGCTCCAAGGACGTGGTCTGAGCGCGCAGAAGAGCATCGTCGGCGGACAAGGCGAGAATGGTCGCGTGGACTCGCTGGGCATTGCATTCTTATGTTAGCTCGTGAAGTGACGAATGTCCTCTCCATGACTCACCTCTCTAAGGGATAAGAGCATTCCCTCCAGCGCCAGAGCTGTCACGTCGTCTTCTCCAGATATCGCCAACAGCTCGTCTAGTTGATCCACGATCAGGATCTTGGAACTTGATCTCACATCTCCAATGGCTGCTTCGATGCCTCTCCTCACGCCTTCCAGCTTGCCGCTCTTTAATATCCGCCCTTTGTCCGCAGTAGCTTCTGACCCTTGGCCTCCTGAGAGCAGGCCTGTCAGCCCGTCCACAAAGCTGAACTTGCCGGCTCTACTGAGGCCGTCCAAGTCCAATCCCTGGCAAGATTGTTATAAGTACCTAAAGATTTGATGGGAAGAGTGAATGATCATTGTAGAGGGGTCTCGCAACTACTCACTAATCTGCTCGCGCCCTCTCTCCAGAAAGTCAAATCTCTCATGAAGCTCACAAGCACGACTCCGGAGTCTGTCCCTGCCTCGTCTCCGCCAATGCCTCGTCCCTGAAGTATGGAGTAAAGGTACCGTAGGACGAGCCAGTTTGACGTCGCTCCCATGATGTTTGTCAGGACTATCAGGGATGCCTCCTCGGGTAGCCCGAGATATGGCTCAAGAAGGGGCGGAATCTTGCGTGACATGTTCCCGGTCAAAAGCGAGGTTGAAGAGGATATGGAAAAGGTATGAGATCAAATGCGTTGGGAAGATGAATTGAGCAATAAAGCTTGATACAAATTAAGCTGAGATATTGTCAAAATAATACTTGGAAAGGGGGGAGCAGCAAACAGACAAGATGAAGTTGAAGCACAGCAGTTCTCATTTCTCTGGGATTAGCATCAAAGGCAAGTCCCGGTCGACGATTTTGAGGAAAGAGTCATGGTGGGGGCGGGGACGGTGCGAACACGCGCTTGAGTGCTCGCACGGTGCGTACATCACTGAGCACATACTTTCATATTCTACACTCGCTCGCTCATACCTTTGACATTACGCACACTTTTTCATGCTTTGCAAAGCAAAACAAGATTGTTAATGTGAAATCTAAGCTGAGACTCACCTCAGATTTTCAGATACACTATTTGCTCTCAGCTTGTGGCCTCGACCGACGCCCTACAATGCATTGTATCTACTATATAGATACTTCACAGATGCCGAAAAGCTTACACCACCAACCCCCCCGACCATTAAGGAGGATAATGGGAGAAGCATTTCATTGCTTAGATATTCCAATACCTAATTCTGGATTGGGGAAGGCAGTCAACGGTACCATATTATCATTCTTTCTCCTTCTGCCTATGGACCTTCAGCTGACATCTGTTTCTAGACTGGCGTCTATCTACAGCTGCGGCAGGTCGATATGCCCTCCATGCAGCTTCCCCATATGCTCATATATACCCACGCCCTTCGGAAAAGTCATCAAACACACCCAGCAAATGTGAGCCTCGCAGGCTATGCACGTCATGTGGTTGCACCCGGAGATCTTTTCCAGTGGAGTTTTACACTTTGGGCAGTCCTTGATGCCCAGCTCTTTCTTGAGCTTGGTCAGCGCCTGGTATCCTCCCGACTTGAGGTCCTGGTGTTCTGCGCACGACATGCCGACATGCGGCTCATGGCAAGCGGAACAGGTTGGCCTGAGACAATTGGAGCAGTTCTGAGTTCTCGCCTCTGGGGAGACTCTATAGATGTGGCCGCAGTCTGGAGTGGGACAATAGCGGAATTCGTTAGGATGTCGCTTGATATAGGACGAAAAAGATCGTTCAAGCACGTCCTCAAGCGCAGAAGAAGAGAGATGCTCCTGAAGATCTTCAATAGTCATGACATCCTTACAGTTGCCTTGGTTCCCATGGCAAAGGATGGCAAAGTCTGCGGCAGTCCCGTCTCCTGCCGTGCAGCTACTTTCGAAGCATTCTTGGCAGTAAACGTGGCCACAGCTGGTCTTGACGGGGCTCTCCGCTTCTGTCCAGCAAACAGAGCAGTCCTGTGCCGCTTCACGGAGTCCATGCTGCACGACTGGCTCTGCGACTTGCTCTCGGCCTTCCATGATCGCCAGAGCAACGTCATAGTCTTCCAGCGAGCCGGATATGACAATTTTCTTGGGTGTGGAAATGATGTCAAACGATGCCTTTTCGGGCCCAAGTCTGGCAGCAATTTTTTTGAACCCCCCATGGCAGGCCCAGAAGAACTTGTGAGGTTCGAGTTCAATGACCCTGGCGGACGTCGACAGTGACTCGACTCGAATCAGGTCAGCAAGCCGACGCTCCGCCTCCTCGCAACGGGGCTGAGACCCGAAAAGACGCAATTCAGATTTGCCTCTATCCCGGAGAATAGTCACGGAAAGCTCTGCCTCTAGCTTCTTGATGGCTTGGAAAAGCTGACCATTGGCTTTGAGGGAGGAATCCCAGAGAGTGATGCCGTCCGCCTTCGCAACAACGCCGCCAAGAATAGACTCGAGGTCCGCCTTGGCAACCGCAACATCATCTGCCGATTCTCCCTCGAGCTTCAAGAGCCTGAACCTCTTTAGGGGATCGGCGCTGTTGTACGCTTTGAAGAAGACGTTCTTGTCTTTCCAAGTCTTCTGCTGGGTCAGAATCCTGTGATAGACAGCGTTGTAGATGTTTGTGCCGGCTTTGAATTTGGCCGAGTACACCATCTGGACAGTCAACCGCGCCTTGCGATGGAAAGGTAGCTCCTTTTTGTCGAGCTCTGTGACAGCTCTCCGAGCATCGGACTCGTCCAAGAAGCGAGCAGTGGCTTTGACTCGCCTGGCGTTGGTCTCTAACGTAATCTCAAAATACTCCAAAGGTCCAATAGTCGTCAAAAGTGAGCGTATCATGACCGAAGCCTGTTCAGCGTCGGTTGAATACGTTGGCGGGCCAAATTCGACATGTTGAGGCCTGTTCCGCTCCAGTGTGATGGCTTGCAAGATGTCCTTCCTCTCGGCGGTAGATGGTACGTCAGTCAACATGACTGTCCAGTTGACGCGGTTCCTATTAGACGGTGACCACGCATACGAAGGAAAAGCCGACTGAGATTCAGTAGCTGGCCCCGTTGTGACTTTCTGATCCAAGATCCGATAGGTACCCTTCGAGAACAATTCCCTCACTCTCTTGGCAGTATCTGCGTTGCCAAAGTTTAACCAGGCATTTCGGACCGCTTTGTGCCACGATATGTGCACCTTCTTGCAGTCCACCCGTCGAGCGTTGTGGCCCGAGGGCATGGGCGCAGCGATTGGCGTTGCGTGTAATTTGACACCCTTCCATGTATAGCCAGAGTGGAACATGGCACACAGCCTCTTGGAGAAAGACGGATCGTCCGACCTTACAGACGCTCCGGAGCTGCCATCCATGTGCAACATATACACGTCGTCGACGCCGATGTCGAACCCCCTTTCAACGAGCATATCCCGAACCGATTGCTCAGGTGTGCCTTGCGGCAATCCGTTGATACGGACGGCAGAGAAATCGCTGGGCAGGCGGATCTTGGATACGCGAGCACCGGCCTCGAATTGTACGAATGCGCCTCCGATAGTTCTCGAGAAGTCGTCCTGCTTGGGTTCGTCCTACAACAGTTTCGTCAGCATTCATTCTTCATTTGACCGATCCACCACTCCAAAGTCTCGAGTAAGGATGGAAATGATCTTTGTGAGCTTTCAGGGTGGATCACGAACCTCAACTGCATCTGTTACAGCAAGAGGAGCAGGGGCGGCATCTCGAGGGGCCAAATTGGCCAAATTCTCTTCAGCATGACGGAACAGACATTTCTCCCCATATACGCAATTCCCAGCCTTGAAGAATCTGCAAGCTGGCTTTGCACTCTCAGGAAGTGCAGTGGCGGTAGGACGGTCGTTTGTTCCGGTTTTCTCGAATTGCACGCCTCGCTATAACGACAGAAATTAGCGGTCATCCTCGCGGGCTGGGATCTTCACGAGGAAAGGAGACTATGTTACCTTTTGAGGTTCCAGGGGAAACCTAATGGGAATACCGCTGGTATGAGAAAAGGAACATGAAGATCCCTTGGTGCACGATCCCATCTGGAAGAATCGACAAGGCGTGGCCGCTCGCCAATCCTGGGCGGAACCAAGATGCCCGTTCCCCGTTGATGAGGCAAGGCGGTTCGTTTTGCCATTCATGATGATGAAGAGCTGCTCAAGAGGTCCGATACCAGGCGTATAGGGAACGATTCGACCTTGCTGGGCGACTAGATCCTGACTTTTTCTCTCGTTGCCTCCAGGGAAGCACTTTGCAAGATTGGGCACCATAGGTTGCAGTAGATACTGCTGCCTATACCATGCATATTGTGTCACTTCGTATTCGTGCGTGTTGAGGAGAGGCTCACACTGTACGGTCGACCTGCATATTGCTGTTGGACCTGGAGTTCGAGTTGGATGCTCTCATTGGTCTTTGTTGGGTATCGGCAGATGGTACTGCTCGTCACGGTACTCGAGGCGTACAGACGCGCAACATGCATGCAGTATGAGCTACATGGCGCTACCTGTAAACTGGGTATCGAAGCAGAACGGATTCGAGATTCCATGACATTGGTCCCTATTCGCTATCACGGTGCAGATACAAAGTGGCTGCAGATGTGACGATATATATATATATTGTGTACATATGTAGCCTGGTAGCCATATAAAGCAAGGTATGTCTCACTACCGATGAGTGAAACGGGATATCTCTAGTTAATCAATGCTGTAAAGACTAACTTTGTCATATGCATGCCCCCCGTGCAGAGAGAGCCAAAAGAAACCAGAAAAGCAAATAACCTCCCAAAACAACGCCGTATGATGCTCGTCAAAGCAACATCTTGTGTGAACATGACTCAATCTTCACCCTTTGGAAGGAAAGAAAAGACAAATGCACGTATGCTGCCAATTAGAACTTCTCCATGAGGTTCTTGCGCGCCGTCCACATGCGGGCCCTCTTGCCAAAGATGTACATGGGAATGGAGCAAAGGCAAAAGATGAGCTGAATGACGCCGAGATAGATATACACGCTCCTTGAGCCATCATCCGCCAGCCACTGGGAAATGAACAGACTGAACACCAGGCCGTGAAGCACATTCTTGGAAAAGTTGAGCGTCACCAGGGCCTCGCCAGCGTACTGGCGGTAGCTGTCGACGCAAAAGGTGATGGACGTTGTCGAGCCGAGGGAGCAGCCGAAGGAGGTGATGCCGAAGAAGATGGTGGGGACAATCCAGCTGTCCCTCTCCTGCGCCGACCACCCAAATCCCATGAGCCCAATGCACGTGGTGAGGAGGATCGGTATGGCCATGATGAGGCGGAACTCTGGCTCGTACATGCCGCCATTGCGACGGGCCATGGCCCGGACGATAATATCGCTAATTTTACCCGCCACGCCGGTACCGAGGATGCCGCCGACAAAGGGTGACACGTATACGAGACCGGTTTGGAGAGCCGTGAAGTTGTACCCATCCGGATTACGGTAGATGACAGCCAGATTCTCGGAAATGACGATCAGCCAGCCAATGGAGCAGGCATAGATGACAGCAGACCAAAGGACGGCGGGGTACGCAAACAGGATGAATGGCCTGGCCGCGACTTTGAACCAGTTGTCGTTGTTGAGCCGTCCGTGATAGGGCTTAAGCTGCTGGATGAAGGTCTGAGCCGGCTGGTTGCGGAGGTTGTGGGTGTACATCTTGACCTTGGGGGGCGCTCTAAAATTCCATGAGGGCAATCTTTCGTTGTCGAGGTTGGGCGCTGTCGAGTAATACTCGGCAGTTACCGTGCTATCCGCTGCGCTGTGAGTGGGATGGGATGCTGGATGGAGTCTTCGGCCGCGTTCAGGAGCCAAGCTGGGCCGCGGCGACGTGAGGGAGGCCCGCGGACTGTGGATAGACGGTCCGCGCGAGGATTCTCCCCGTTTGCCTCCCTCTTGATCAGTTCCCTCTTCTTTGTGGTTCTCCAGCGGTGGGTCTACGAATCCCACTTGAGGACTCCCAGACGGCAACTCCATGTCTTTCCCCAAGGGTTCTTGGCCCTCATGCGAAGGAAACGGTGGCTCAACGTTTGGCGTAAACTCGACATGTACCTCTCTGCGACGCTCGATAACTCCAGGAGACCGTGAGCTCTCGGGCGACTTCCCCCGAGGCGAGAGTGGGCCGGCAGATGCATGAGCCGGGTCGGCATGGCGGGATGACAACCGGCGAAGGAAGCTAGGTCGTCTGGAAACTCGCCGTGTCGGCGTTCTATCCCAGAAAGTCTCTGGGACGAAGAGAAACAGTAGGACAAATGCAAATGCAACGACCATGGCAACAATACTGAGAAGAAGGTAAAACCCAGGTTAGAACTTGAACTTGGACAAGGAACAAGAGACGATGGCGGGCTTTGGAGAAGGAGTGGACGAAGAGGATTTGCAACGTACAAGAAAGCCCAGCGCCAGCCGAAGCGGCCAATGATGGCAGCGCTGACGAGAGGAATAATGTTCTTGCCTCCCAAAAGCAAGAGGGTGTAGATTCCGATGCGGTATGCGCGCTCGTGGAGGAAGAAGATTTCGGCAATGGTGGCAGACGGCAGACATTCCACTGGGGACACGGCAACGCCCTGGAAGACTCTGGCGGCGATGAGGGAACCGAAGCTGGGCGAATATCCAGCCCAGATGCAGGTGCCGATGAAGAGAATGGCTCCGGCGAGATACACGGGCCGTTTGCCGAACAGGATGGCCGTGGGAGAGGCAATAACGGACCCCAGGCCCAAGCCCATCATGTAAAGGCCAGTGGTCAACGACACGCGCTCGACCGAGACATCAAAGTCCTGCGCAACGTTGGTGAATCCCGCAGCGATCAGGGGCGTCATGCCGCCTCCGATCATGCAGTAGAATCCCAGTGACAGGAGAGCGCAATCTCGCCGCCAGGTTGGCCAGTTCAGGGGGTCGTTGACGGAATCTTCGGGTTGCGGTTCCAGGATGATCTTACCGTCGCCCGTCTTCTTCTTGCCTGCGGACTCATTGACCGGCTTCTCGGACTCGGGCTGTTCCCACGGAGATGGCTGAGTGCCGCCGGGAGACACAGCAAAGCCAACTGGAATGGATGAGTGTGAAGTGCGAGCATGAACATTGCGCAGACCAAGTGGCTCATTGCGGTCACTAGCCAGCAGCAAGACGGAGCCTGCAAACCAAGGAAGGGCGTTAGGAAGCTGCTTAAAAGTGCTGAAGCTGAAGACATGGAGAAGAATGGACGCGTTTCATAGCGCAGACAGCTGCTCACCTGGAACCTCGATAGTTTCCGGATCGTTCAACATGCCCATGCTCCATTTGGCCGGCCCAGCCTTTTCACCGGCATTATCAGCTCTCGCATCTCCGCGACGGCCGAGGCGCCACCGGCTTTGCTTGGGTTGCCCTTCGGGCGCCATATCGATTGATGCGGATGAGACCAAACGCTAGATACAGCCGCCACGAGCGTTAAGAGTATAGAAGCTTCAAATAACCAGATACCGAGATTGACTTTCAAAAGGAAAGACTGGTCAAAGATACATGGGGGTAATATATTCAGCGAGGGAATATCAAGGGAAATGATGAGATAGGCTTGTAGGCGCGGAGGGAGAAGATGGTATGGTGTTTCTCAATGCTGTGTCGTTATGTCCAGTCTAAGAATAGCTGTGAGACATGCCAGAGAGACACGCCACAGAGGCAACGGTACGATCCAGAAAACGGCCAAAAGGGGCAGGTTTCAGATGAAGGACAATAAGATCCGGGTCTGGAGCGATGCGGCGAGACTGCGAGGGCGAATAACAAGATCGGCGAAGACCAGCAACGCGCAGGCTTAGATTCGACACAGGATGTCCTTTTGCTTGTGGCGTCGAGAATATCAGGGACGATATGGCAGCTAGAGGATAAGAGGGAGGAGAAGCCAGATAAGAGGTGAGTAGGGAGCTGCACAGGAGAGAGAAGATGAGGGATACGTCGCGGTTAGGGGGAGAGGAAGAGGAACATATACAGGAGGAGGATGGAGGAGAGGAAGATGGCCGAGCGTGGAGGAATGAAGTCAGTGTCTCGAACGTTCTTGCTCCGCACGTGCTAACTAACAGTTTAGTCGACTGATGGCTGGCTAATCAACGAAAGAAAGGCCCCGAGATCTTGCAACTTCCATCTACCTAGCGCGAGATCTGGCCCACCTGGGATGGAAGAGACCAGACGTTATCAGACCCTCGAGTTGCTCATGATGCCAGTGTGTCTGGTCTGGAGGGCTCGGGCGAGTCAAAATCAAGGGTATCGATTCCACTGCTACCTTGCTAGTTCCTCGTTCCAGCACCACCTTGATAGACAATGGCTGATCAGCAGCAGAGACCACAGCACTAGCCGCTCCCAAACCCCGGACAAGGGCACAATGGCAGCGCTGGATGGCCCAACCGCAGGCGATACGACGAGTCAGGTGAAGCGCCAGAGCTGCTGCACATGCCACTGCCTGGAAACCCCCACTGGCTCAACGGCTCTCCCGCCATGGATGCGCCCTAGCCATTCCATGTTTGATGACGGCAGCGGGGACCATGGGGGGCTGATATGAGCCCTGGAAGTTGGCCTAGTTGACGCCTCGTGCTGTTGCTAGCGACGTTGTGGCACTGGAGCTACGGACAAGGAGCTCCCTGATACTCCGTACGTTGTGTTTGGTTTCTCAGCGCGTTCATCGCCAAAAGCAGTATCGAATCGACTCTAGACAAGAGACCAGCACTTTCTGGAAGAGAGATTTGATGCGCCTCACCTCGAGTCTTCCTTCGTACATGAACATGCAACCGTACGGGTCCTCATCTGCTGGCCGGGATCATGGATCAGAGATGGATTTCTGCTGCGGCTCACGCGGTCGAGAATCTTCCCCCGCAAGATCCGCAAACAGGCGGTGATGCTATTACGCTACTACCTTACCTGCCAAGCTGCACTATACACGCGCAGTCGAAGCGAGCACAGGGCTTGCACCTCCATCCCTTGTTCCACTGCAGGCTATTCGCCATCGAGCCCTTGGCACCTAGACGCTCGTCAGGCTTACGGGGCAATGGAGCACTGCTTCTTGACGAGCATTTGACAAGCAGCAAATGCCCCGATTGCTACCTGATCAGCGACTAAAGCTCCGTTGTTCGTATCTGATGCTCAGCACCGCAGAGAGTCGACATGACCCCGGACCACCACACCATCAACGACGTCACTCTGCAGCGAGTCATCCATCATGCGACGCCTCTCGACGGCCGCCGCTCAGCCTTGGCAGCGTCTCGTGGGCGACTATCGGCACTGGCTCTTTTTCTGTTGAAGCCAGGTTTATCTGACTCGAGTCATTTACGTGTAAAGTATAACATCTCATATATGCACCTATGTTATACATCGAATGGAAAGGAAAGTAGAGAAGAGACGGAAGAGAAAACGTCAGAAAGCACTAATGATAGTGTATCAGACGAACAAGAAAAACACATGCAGACATCGGTCAAGACAACGTCAGCTTTCCATGAACCCATTCCATTCTGCCCACTTGGTATCTAAAAAACGAAGAAATGAAAAGAACACCTAACTCGCTTTCCTTGCTTGGGTATTCTTTCTTCTTTGTCAAGAACAACAAGAAATCTTCCTCCATCTTCTCGCCTATTCCCCTACGATACACAAGAAGAAGTCAAAACTAAGAGAGGAAAGAAGAAGAAGAAGAAGAGAGAAGAGAGTAAGAAGATTATCGCCTCTACATTAACACGCAGTCTCCGTCTTGCTTCTCGATACGGCTTCGCGAAATACGCTCCCTCGGACGGGCCTTTTCCTTTCCGGATCGCTTCAGGTCTTCCAGCCGTTCTCGGGCCTTTGGGAAGTCCTGGGCTATAGCATCGAGTCAGCATCAAACCTATATACGATATGAAATAGATCCTTCTATATGGATGGGACTCACCAGCTGCTCGCCAATACCACCGCTTGGCATCTTCCAGGTTGGCCGGGACACCTATTCCCACCTCTGTAAAGTATCCCATCGCGTACTCTGCCTTGGCCAGTCCGGCAACGGCAGCTTTCCTCGCCCACAGATACGCCTCGGTATCGCTCTGGCCGAGGACGCCTTCGCTGCCGGTCAGGTACCAGCCGCTCAGGGCCAGCTCCGACTGGTGCTCCTCCTGCTGAGCAGCCCTCGAGTACCAGACAATGGATAGTCTGGGGTCGATTGGGCATCCTAGCAGTCCGTACTCGTAAGCACAGCCCAGTCGGAACTGCGAGAACTTGTAGCCAATCTCGGCCGCCTGCTGGAACAGAGACAGGGCGTACTGCTCGTCGCGGATGATGACATCGTTGGGCTGGGCCGACTCGTACAGCAATCCGAGCTCGTGAAGGGCATGCGGGTTTTCCGCATCGGCCCGCTCGGCCGCCCGTTTCAGCCAGCCAACCGCCTCCCGCGGGTTCTTGGGCTGGCCCAGGAGCCCCTTGAGCAGAATCATGCCGACCTTGTACATGGCAGGCGGGTCGCCCAGAGTCGCCGCGCGCTTGTACCACTGGATGG